AGCTCATTGAAAGTCTCCACACTCCCCCACTGGAGGCTTGCCCTCTTCCATTGGCTGATTCTGAGTTCTATTCTTTAAAATAAACCAGTAATAGTAAGTAATCTCCTAATTTCTGGTAAGTTGTTCCAGTGAATTATTAAACCTGAAGGAAGGTCATGGGAACGTTGGAATTTGAGGTTGGCCAGACAGAACTATGGGTACCCTAGGCACCTCACTTGCAGCTGACATCAGTACTGGGGCAGTCTTGTGGAACTGAGCCCTTAACCAGTGGGGTCTGAGTGAGCTCCGGATAGTGTTATAATTGAACTGAGTTCTTGGACACCCAGTTGATGTCAGAGACTCAAAGAACTGGTTAGGTGAGAAGAAAGCCTCTTAACAATAATACTGAACTAAGGCTCCGAATGTAGGCTTGGACTTAGACTCAGGTAGGAAGAAATTCTTTCTCCTCTGGACCTTAAATGTAACTATGGACATCAAAGATTTTATTATAAGAAAGACCTATTTTGACCCTCCAGTGGGTCTGAATCCCTCACTCAACTTCTTTGACTGCTCTGGGGGGCCATTGGAATGATAAGAAAATAGGTACGTGTGAACTATCCAGAATGGAGCCCTGTAGATTATAGGTACCTTAATAACGGCGATTTATTTTATTCAGTGCCCCCATTACAGTATGGAAGTCTGATGGCAATACCAAGGTTTACACTGAATACAGAATATTCCAGTTTCCCATGAAACATAATCAGTCAAGGGCATTCCAAAGTACTTAATAATACTCAACCTTTCATTCATTTGGCAAAATTCTACTGTACATTTACCATATACCAGCTGTTATTGGTATACTCATCACCTGGTATACTGCTGGTCCAAGAGCCACACTTTGAATAACAAACAGTTAGATGAGCCAAGTCCTAGCAGCAGGACTTTGTATTCAGAACTGTAGAATGAGGGACGCCAATTTCTAGTGTCTCCACAGGTTGGTTGTACCCAATCCTGCTGTTTCTGGTTACCTGTGAATTTAAAACCTTTTGGCTTATCCCTTTTTTTCCAAATTACTACCAGTTGCTTTGAGAGCTTATTGAAGGTCTCCTTATTTCCACTGTTCAGTTTTGCATGTGTCAGGTGGTGCTGCCTATGGGACACACAAGCGGAGTCCAATAGGCAGTGGAGATCCAAGTCTACAGGGCAGAGACCAACCTGTGGAGACACTAAAAGCTGGTGTCCCTCATTCTACAGTTCTGAATAGAAAGTYCTGCTGCTAGGACTTGGCAGCTTATCTAACTCTTTGTTATTCAAAGTGTGTGGCTCCTGGACCAGCAGTATACGGTCACCTGGCAGCTTGTGAAATGCAGAGCCTATGGCCTCCTCACACTTAAGTCAGAATAGCACTTTAGCATGATCCCCAGGTATTTTGTATGTAATTAAGGTTTGAGAAGCCCTGGTTTAATTAGAATCAGAAGTCCCACTTCAGAATAATTAAAGTGGAATTTCCAGGAGTGGGGGACCTAGGCCTGGATATTTCTATCAGTCTCTTCAAAAGGTTCTGATGTGCAGTCTGGGCTGAGAACTACTGATCTCTTTTACTCTTTCCATGTTCTCTCTTCTTCAGCAACCCATCTCTAGAGAGATGTGTGGTTCTACAATAGGATGAAGACATGTAACTCAAACGAACAAGTCTCCTAGTTTATTGGGGACAGTCTCAATGTATTCACAGTGCCCTCCCTGAAAAAAAAAAAAAAAGGTATCCTGTTTTCCTTAGCAAATTATATATTCTACCTTCATGAAATAAAATGGCTCTGTGCTTTCCATTTCTGGATTGTTAAGTCATAATTAGAACAAGATGGCAGATGCCCTTTGGTTTGACAGAGGAATCAAATACAGAGTGACTTCTGATACTTAGATATTCGTCCTTAAAGTCTTCCAGGTATAAATTCCTCACTTGCAAGGAAGGTTGGGGAGAGTTAGACTTCTCCAAAGGACTGGGGTTTGATGGAGTGTAGTTATATTCTACCATGAAACTATCAAAGCCAATGGTTGATTAGCCTTAAGCTGATTATCAGTCTGTGATTATCCTATCCCTGAAAAAAAAAAWTTTCTTTCCTTTCTCTTTGGATTCTCTATTGTTCATTAGCTACTCTGCCCATGGGCTCCAAAGTGCAAGGGAAGAAAGTGAATAAAAAGTTAATCTAGTAGTTCTGCTAATAAATTGGGTGGGAAAGATGTACCCAATCATGCTCTTTCTGGTTACCTGTGAATTTAAAGCCTTTTGGCTTATCCCTTTTTTCCAAATTACTACCAGCTGGTTTGCGAGCTCAATGAAAGTCTCCTTATTTCCAGTAAAATTAATCTTTATTTTTTAAACTATGAAATCTTTTAGCAATTGGCCTTTGGTTACTTCCTTCCTGATTTTCCTAGGACCCAAATGAGGGCAAAGCATCATTTATCTTCTTATCTCCTTCCCTTACCACCATTTCATATTTTTTTWAAAAAAATTTTGATATAGGTAAGAAATTATTTGACATCAACTTATGGCATAATTATTTATGCAAAAAGACACACATGAAAAGTCCACATGTAGGAGATCCAGGAACATATTAATTATATCACAACTTTTCCTAGTTGAATCACTAGGTTAGTTCTGAATACTTTTGCAAGGCAATGAGTGTAAATGTCTACAACATGCTCTGTTCACATGTGCTTAAGATGTCTGGAAAAGAAATGACTCATGTTCAAAATAAAATAGCCAGATGCTGATAAATCAGCTGAGAAGAACTCTRGCAAAATGACTTGAATGTAGATGGCAATTGAGTTAGGGTGTGCAAACATTAAAAACTACCTGTTGAATTGGAATAAGCTTATCAATGGAATCTCTGCAGATTACAGAGTTACTTTAAAGGGTGTCTGCATGTATGCATAGGCACAGGGGTGAGAGCAGAGTGGGTGTTTATCCTCTGCTTTCTGGGCTACAAATAAGAACAAGCTGAAAGGGTTGGAGGGATTCTCTCTGCAGCTGAGAAAGCAATACAAGCCAGTCTCTCCCTGTTGGGCCTGGATCAGTAACAACACCAGCAGCTTGAGAACATGTCTTATCTTTGATCTCTGTTAACAGTTAACCAAAGGCCTTTCCTTCCAGAGCTCTTGGGAGGGTGAAGCAGGTGGTCCTATAAAGTTACACTTAAAGGGAGCCCCCAAATACTCCAGTGCAAGTGTCTAGGTAGAGCTGAGCAATAATTAACACAGGGAGGCTTGATAAGAGAAGCTTCTTCCTTTTCTTTAGGTGTTTGGATTTCTTTAAAATTTTTACTCTATGTTAGCTTGACCTATGCAGTAGGACTTAAGTTGGTGAGTCAATGATGTGCAATATTTTAACAAGAAGTTCTATTTTGATATAACATTTTTAGGGAGATCATGTGCTAAATATTCTGAGGCACAATTAATTAGGCTTGGGAAAAACTCTTACTCATGATTAGAAAGCAAAGTAATATCAGATCAGAAGAGCAACATCCTTAAGCCAACAAGATGAAATATTTTCAGTAATGGGGAATAAGATGAGCATTATTTAGGTTTTCTTTATCCACACAACCTTCTAAAGACAGGCCTTTAGAGTTTTGGGCTTCAAAAATTACCACTCTGCTTTTATGGACCACTTCAGAGAGATACTCATCTGGGTATAGAATTATTTTCATGCATGTCTCCTGGCCTGGGCTTAGGGAGGAGAAGTACATAGAAGTAAGCAAGTATCATAACAATTTGCCCTGTGCAAATAGGGAAAAGAATGTTCAGAAAAAATAGCCCTGAGTCAGAATGAGTCAGAGCTGGGGAGGCCAGGAATATCATTCCTCACCCTGTACGTAGCTGTGGACTTCCAGGGCTTGCTGCAAGCTCCCTTCCCAACATGGGATGTAGAAGAGTGCTTTATTCGGAAAGAGAGGGTAAGCTTCCATCTAGCTCTTGCAATGATTTGGTACTATCTTGGGCAAAATGTACTTACCAGAAAATTATTTTGGCAGAACATGGCCCCTTCATGGCATGGAGTGCCTGTGATCGTGGGAGGAAGGACCCAGGGCTGAAGCTGGCAATGTGTCCTGCCCACTCATGCTCCCAGTGACCCTGGAAACAGCTCTMTGGCCTCTCCTTCCTCATTTGGGATTGTTTTATTCCAGATAAGTCTTTTGGCTATAAGTCTGGTGCGAGGATCTATATAGCACYATTATGACCAAGTTCCTTGAGATTCTCCAAAGAAAGATAACCATGAAAACACAAATTAACTAAATGAATGACAAAGAAAGAAACTCCTCCCAGTGTCTTATTCCATCCAAAAGCATATTATAGCTGGAAATTCTGAGCAACTCCACAATGAGAAACAGTATTTCTYTGTTTCTCTGCTTTTCCACAAAGAAGTATATGCAGATATTTCAGCTCAAAGAGTCATCTTTTTGAGGACTMTGCAAAACCCAAACTGAAGCATAGACCAAGGAGACAGGAGCAGTCAGCAGCTGCTGCTGATGTTCCCAATATCACAGTGGGTTGTTTTTGGTACTAGTCAATATTGTCTGGTGCTTAATGACTAGGGGAGTGGGGAAACTTATGGTTGAGCTATTTGTGATTACTGAAATGGCCTCAGAGAGGAAGCTAAGGATTGCATCTACACTGGTACTTCCAGGTATGGTCCAACTCAGAGTTTTCAAAACACTTGGAGATGCATAATTTACACAGGAATAATCAGACATTCAACCAGTTTGACTCTAACTTGAAAATTTTTAAACTTATCTATACAAAGTGCCTTTTCTTAGTATCACCCCAATCAAACTGCAGAACAGTCAAGAGAGCCAAGTTGAGAAATAGTGGTCTGAACTTRTAAACAAATGCTAAAAAGGAATTTTTCGGCTTGCCATCAACTGAAGCTTTCAACATGCCTTTCCACTAAAGACCCATGGAAGATCTTGAAATTTGCTWGGAGTGGTGAGACACATAGTGTGGAGAGAAGAGCTCTGCTTTTGTACCTGTGGTTCCTGGTCATGACCGCTGGGATCCCTCTCGTAGCTCTCTGCGTACAGCCTGATGGTGGCTCTCACGCCACTGGAGGAACTAAGCCTGAAGATGAGCCGTGATGCATCCGAGAAAATGATCCTCAGGCCCTGAGACCAAAGACAACCAAAATGGATCAGTGAACAAATGATCAAGCAGATGATAAATAACTCCAAGCCACTGTGGCAATCAGCATAAGACTATGATCTGAAAAACATCAGGGTCATGACAACTGTTCACTGGCTTTGCATGTTTACTCAAGTGGAACAGTATGGTAAACCTAAATGCCTCTTGAGGTTGTCCACTTGTCTCTTCATTCTATTTCTGTTGCTCTGTGGTTAATGTTGGTGAGGGTTAGGATCAAAACTATGAGCAGATGCTTAAATCAGGAAGAAGTAGGGGTAATGAGATAGGATGATATTTAATACATGTTCTTTAAGTCAAAGTGCATCCTTTACAAACCTTCTTGATGCAGGTAGGCAATGTATCTATTTCAGTTAGAAAAATTGTCCGTGTTCAGGTGAGGGTCACCCCACATATTGTTCGATGTTGCTTTAAGCATGTCTCTTTGCTTTGTTCTGATTTTTTCCTCAYTTCCACATTCTTCTGGTAGTAGTTGAACCCCACAATGAAATGCTCAGRGCTACAGCCTCAGCTGTGCGGACAGTGGCTGAACACGCCCTCACCCTCATGGCTCTCTCCTTTCTTCTCACCTCTAAGTCCTGGCTACCAGGATAGGGTAGGAACCTAGCTAGAGCTGCCCAATGTTAGTTCATTTTTGGTTCAGAATGTCCCTACTCTCTATATTTCCTCTTATTTGTGGTAGGGATATTTAAATATGTTGACCATAAGATCACATTTTGACTTCTGCTGAAGGAAATTTGTTCTCCTAAGACAACTGATAAATTATTGTTAATAAGCATGTTGACAGAGGCCAGAGGGTGAAAGAGGAAAAATAAGACGGTGACTTGCTGCTTCTTAAAATGTGAATGTCTTGAGCAACTTTGCATCAAGCCTTCTCCCTAAATAACTTATCCTTGAAACCTCTGGCCTCAAATTCTGCCTGTTAAAAAAAGTAAGGCATTATTAAAATTGTATCATAACTGCTACATAAATCTTAGTGCCAACTCCTTACCCCTAGCCTCACCTGGTGATACCTGACAGAAGCAGATTATGGTTCCGTCTGAGTGGTTTTCTGCTTGTCTAGGTTTAACAAGCAAATTTTGTTCCATCCCCAATAAAAAGCTTTAGTTTCTTTTAGAGAAGTTCAACAAAAACAACAGGGAGCCATCTCCCTTAGTGGCAACCAATTACTCTATTGACTTTGCAAGCAGGGTAATACTRTCCAGGATTCATTCATTGGGAAAACCTTTAAGGGTGGCTTTTATGGACTAGGCCCTGGATTAAGTCCTGAGTATGTGGAGATAAAGATACAATATATGCTAGTTTATTAAAGTAATTAGAAACAGTTTTCTGAACTACCTTTTGCTGCTAAAGAAGTAAATGGTCAACAMAATTCCAATTGAAGCAAATGAACAAATTGTCTATGATCTGGAAAGCATCACATCATATTATATTCAAACTGACAATAAAGCCCCAAAGGTTCCATAGTTGTGTTCACAGTGATGTTTTTACAAACACTTTTGAAGCTGTTATTTACTTTTAATCTTACATTCCCAATGTCGCCTTGTATGGTACTCACCAATATGAAACTCACTGCTCAGGACTATGGCGTACATATTAGTTGGTTTAAATAATTCTAAAGCTGAGACAATAACACATTTGTTGTTGTAGATTCTAGATAACTTGGGACCTCTTCTTCCAGTGATCTTCCAGACAAAAACCCTTTAAGGTCACTTTCATTATACAATTAACCTCTTAGATTAGTTTATGGCTACTGAGAGGTATTTAATAATTCAAGTTATAACAAACCATCMATATGTGTTATCTGCTCAAAACAGACTTTAAATAATGAACTCATGCTATTTTTTTCTTGAGGGTATCCATAATAACTTTGGTTATGCTACATGCTATACTCATAGAAAACCCTCTGAATCTACATCTGGTAGGCAATAGATTTTGCACTTGAAAAATTAAAGGAGTAAATAGCAGACGTTAGCCCACTAGAAATAGTTCAACATCTTCTCTCTTTCGTAGGAAACCAACCATGATATCTAAATTGAGAATCCATGTTGTTTAGGAGATAATTTCAGGTGAAGAATATCATAGTTCTTCTTTTCCACATGGAATGTCAGGTTTTTTAGATCCAGGCCATTCTTGTGTTTCAAAAATCCCAGGACTATGTCCTTAATGTGTGATTAGCTGAACAGGATTGCTTTGAGATCTGCATGTTCCTTACATGAGCCTCRTGGATAGTGCAACCCAAACAAGAGCTATGTTCTTTCCAGTGTGGATCACCACCTGCTATCCATTATGCTATGGGGCAAAAGTCATCACTAACCAAGACTTGTCAAGTTTCTAACTCTTAATTTCAACAAAGTATTAATCATATAATTTGCCTTTATTTTTTAGGTTACACCAGGGGTTGGCAATGTACTAATTATAAGTGGAATTTGACTTGCTACCTGTTTCTACAAATAAGTTTCAGTGGAACTCAACCATGCCCAATCAGTGATATATTGCCTGTGGTTGCTTTTGTGCCACAATAGCAGAGATGAACAGTTGTGACAGAGGGCATCTGGGCCACAAGGCCTAAATGTACTACCTATCCCTTTACTTAAACATTTGCTATCTCCTGGTGYAAATCATAACATTATCTACAACATAGAATATTTAGCTTTCAACCCTACACCAGACAATAGAAAATATAACTATCATCTGCCTTATCAAAATCTCAATGGACAGAAATTGTGTTCATGACAAATTTATCAGGGTATCCATTTCCTCCATGTCTAGATGTTCCACCTTCTAGCCATAATAAATTCATCTGGACATATTTGGTCCCAATCAACTTCTGATCAACTACGCCTGACAGAAATGAATTTATTACATTGCATTTTAGTTTTGTATTCTCACTTTTATTGTGTGGTGCTGCAAGGCACTGTCTTATAAAGTCCACTTTCATAGTAACTATAGGAAGATTGCTAGAGACTGTAGGAAGCTTCATGTAAGACATTTCCTCAAGAGCCAAGTGTTAGAAAAGCCTTTCCTTTCCCGAGGAACTGGTCTTCTTTTTCTTTCTGATGACAAGTACTTTGTAATTAACCATATTTCCCTTTTCAATATGGCTGCCAGGATACTTAATGCTAAGTTTGAGGTTCAGTCCAAGTGGATCCTTATGACTTGCATAACTGTGAGTTTTTCTTCTTCTTTTCTTGACTCTCTAATTTATATATTCCCTAGTCTAGATTTCTGTTTCTTATTTACATTCTAATAACTTCATTATGTTTTTGCTGCCACAAATCCTCTTGAAGAACCGAGTCCTACAGTAGATGAATAAAATGAGTTCCCCTTGCAGCCTTAACCCTAAAATGTTGGAATTGCTCAATTTTGTCTTTGAGTCTTTCCTTCACTGACATGTTCTGGGAGGGCAGAACCTTGCTTACCTCCACTTTACCTGCCTAATCTAGCACAATACCTGGCACACAGCAGGTCTTCCAAAAACACTTGTTGAATAAACATCACTGCATGTTCAACACCAGGTGTGAACACACCAGGGTCCCCACCAAGGCAGTCTCTGAAGGCCTCCCTCCACTTTTAGCAAGGGCTCACAGGCCAAATGAAAACACATTCCTCATGGTGAATTGGAGCAAATGTACCCACCCCTGAAGGATAGTTGTGGAAAATAAAATTATAGAAATGATGTGACATATCATTATGGGAGCTTCTCTGGGGTATCTTCCCATTCTTCATTTCTCAAAATATTCTGAAACAAAGCTGGGGCTTGAAAAACACAATGAAGTTGAATCCAGGTAGCTTCCCATTACTGGTTGCATAATCTTGGACAAATTGCAAACTTTGCTGCACACTGGAATTAGCCAGGAGGATCTTTTAAAAAACGGTGGTGCCAAGCTCTTGCTCTCACCCCAGGCACTGTGGTTTAATTTGTATGGGGAAGGGGTATAAAAGGGCCCTTCAGTTCTGGCCCAGCATTTCCCTTCCTCCTGAGTGCCTGTGGTGTGTGCCTCAGTGAATAGTAGGCTTTTCCCACCCTGGATTTCTTGCAGTGAGGAATGGTGTTAAAGGAACCCTGTCACATGCAGCTGCTGCCGCACAATTACCCTCCAGTCTGCTTCCAGTAGTAACTACTGCAATTCTTTTTTTTTAATCCCCTCAGATTTTTCTACTCTTTGATTTACTATTCATGGGCAGTTTGAAAATAGTACAGGAATAGCAAGTAGATAAACCAGGCTAGGACTCCAACGTGGCCACTTATTAGCTGGTGGTCTTGAGTAAGTCATGTAAGTTCTTCAGCCTTAGTTTTCCAAAAATCAAAGGAAAAAATAACTTAGCTTGTTGAGTTTCTGTGAGCATCAGATTAGGAAATGTTTTGGCAAAGTTGCCTCAAAAAGTTATCAATCACTGTACAAATATTATGATTCTTCCTTTACTAAACTTTTAATGAAAATGGTGCTGTGCTCCAAGTTTTCCAAGCTTCCAGATTTGGCGCATACCGCTAACTAAAGCCTTAACACTGATGGTTTATGATGCAATGGTGCATACTGACTTTAAATTAGGCAGAATTAAGATTAATTTCACTTAGGAACGTTGTCATGCCCTCTGAAATCATTGCTGACCTCACAGATCTCTTCCCCTTTTTCTTCTCTATATCTGCCMCTGAACTGACTTTTTTGACAATAAAGATCTTGAAGCAATGGATCCTGACCTCCATAATCGGCCAATTTAGACCCTGAAGTTCCTGAAAGAAGGAACTTTGTGTCATCCAGGCCACAACTGAAAAGAAAAAGAGTTTCAAAAAAACATGTTCAATGAAACATGTTTAGTGAACAGAGGACCTAGGACTTCAGCCTATTTTCTGACTTCAGGTTTGTGATCTGATGTTGGTCCATATGAAACTGCTGAAGTTCATCCATGACCCTTCGTGTGAAATTGTTTGAACAGTATCTCATATGTTTTGTACGGTCCCCAA